TTGACGAAAGCCTCTCTTCCCCTCAATCCAATTAGAATTAGAACCATTAATCAGTATACAATACATGGGATCTAGGATACATTCCTTCACCAAGTTTACAAATCTGGTAGGGAAACCCAAATCTACCATCATCTTCTTCAAAGTTGCCCAACACATACTATCATATGCTTGCTCCACATCAACTTTGATTGCTAAGAAACCATCACTAGCTTTAGAATACCTTAACTTGTTAAATACCTCCTGAGCCAATAGAAGATGGTCTGAGATCGATCTTCCCCTCACAAAAGCCGCCTCTTCTTCAGAAATAACTTCTCTTCACTCAACCAACCTTCTCTTGCTTCTTCTTCTTGTAAATGAAAATTTTCAGCTTTTCGTTTATCTTTCTCCATAAAGAAATCTTTCAATCTAGCCTTGCTCCAATAAAACAAATCCTTCAAAGTTCTTTTGCATTTTTTATTAAGCACTTCCATGTCATCCCCCAAGAAGGGCCTCCTCCACCTACTAGAGACAATATGTTCTGCAGTCTTAAAAGACAACAAAGTATCTTCAAACTTAATGCATCTTCTTCCTCTAAAAATCGAATCATAAATCTTCAATATAATCGGACTATGATATGAAGACACTCTGGCTAGATGTCCTACCAAAGTAATTTGGATTTTGTTGACAGCCAAGTTGTTTAAAATACACCTATCAAGTCTTTCCAGAATTCGTCCCCTACCAATTTTGTTGTTGTAGCAAGTGAATCTTGGACCAATAAACCCAACTTCATGATAGTCATTATCATTCATAAACTTCACCATATCCAAGGAGCCTTGTGAGAAATTAAATCTTCTACCACCCTTCTTGTCTTCTTGAGCCAAAATACAATTAGAATCCTCTCCAATAATAGAAGGAATTTTTCTATGGGAAAACTCCTGAATATACTCCCAAAGAAATCTTCTCTTAAGAGCCTCCTTACTAGCATAAACTGTCGAAATCATCCACACCCCTCTATTGAAGACATTAAGATCACCAATAACACATTGATATGAAGTCTTTAAAACTAAAAAAGAAGCCATATCCGATCTCCATAAAACCATACTTCCACCAGAAATCCCTTCTAAGGGAAGAAGAAAATAATCCCAACCAAGACCCATCATCCTTACAAAAGAGTCTCTGTCCAGAGAAGTGATTTTAATTTCAATCAACACTACAAAGAACACCTTATAGACTTTTATAATTTCCTTCAAATAAAGAGATACCTCCCTCTTTTTGTCCCCTCTACAATTCCAAAATACAATTGATTCCATTAAAAATGTTTGGGGGAAGAGCCCCCAACTCTTTTCTTATTACCTCCATCTAGAAATATGCCTCTAGAATTGCTCTTAATAGGACCTAAACCTTGAGCTCTTTTGCAAGCTTGCATTTCACCAATTCCCCATTTGAGACAACCTCCTTCTCATTTCCCACAACACACAGTCTCTCCTCACAGCCCTTGATATCTCCACCTCCGTCTGAATTCTCAACTACAAGAGGCGCCACTACACTGTTGTTTTCATGACAAACAACAGTAATGGAATTTTTGCATACATCTCCAATTCCATCATCTTCCACCCCATTCAACACATCAAACTTAGTCATATTTACTGAAATAAATGGAATATCAACTCCAGAAAACATACCATTATTAATAACTGCAGCCTCAGCAGAAGTAACATTCTTCACAGCAACATTATTCAAACTAGCAGAATTCCTTCCGAAATTAATCACCTCCTCTTCTCTAGGTATTTCCCCTTCCTCCAAGTGATCTACTCAGCAGCTGTTTCCACTTTATCATTAGCAACAACACTCTGAGTTTCTTTTCCAGCAGCACCATCATGAATTCCCTTCGTTCTCTTCCACTATTTTTTTAACAAATTTCAGTTTATCTTTCTGCACAACCGGTCTTCTATTAATTTTCCTTCTATCCATGATCCAAGGTCCATAAGAGGGCTCAATAACCTCCTCCTGAACCTTTTCTACCTTCTCAACATGCCTTGACCCCCTTCCATCCACATTCTTAACAGAAGCTCCAGAATTCTTTACTTTGCAATTAGATTTCAGATGTCCCACCATTCCACATTCATAACAAAAAGTATAGATTTCCTCACACTCAAATCTTTGAAAGAACCTTCCAGAGATGCTTTCAACTCATACTCCTAAAGGAAGACATTGATCCAACTTAACTCTCACACAAACTCTGGCGAATTCTCTTTTCCCCCACTGAAACATATTACCGTCCATCATCATAGGCTTTCCAACTGATGAAGCAATTATAGCAATATTCACTTCATCCCAACATTTCAAGGGTAAGTGAGGCATTTTAATCCAAATAGGTGAGGTTAAACCTTTCAAAGAAAGAGTAGAAAATTCTAAGGTTTACTTCTCCATTCCCACAATGTGGCCGTTGACAAACCATGGCCCTCCTGACAGAACACCTTCCATCATCTCTGTCGAATCAAAAGAACACAAAAACCAACCCTTCACAAGAGTTGTAAAATGAAAGTTCCCAAAAAGTTTCCACTGTCTCCTTATTTCCCATGCTACTACATGTGAAGGAATTTCCTTCCCAAAAACTTTAATCACCAAAGAATTTTTAAGCTTATTGGAATTTGAAATCTCAACTTCTTCTTTCATTTTCACAGCCTTACCATCTTCTGAGAAGACCATATCCTCCTCCTTGAAATCCAGCATAATATAAGGCTTTCTCTTCCACGGATTAACTTCCATTTCAGCCATTTTTTTAACTGGCATTACCTCACTAACCTTGTCCACAATATCTGCAACAACAGAATCAGACCCCTCTAAGAAATGGCCATTTTTTGTTAACAAAATTACAATCATTCGCATTTATCCCATGGACATGTCCAGATATCGCATTTGAATTGTCGTACCTGTTAACAAATATGTTCATTTCAGAAGATGTCGCTGGATCACAAGAATTTTGATTAGAAAACCTTCTGTCCAACCGTGGGGATAAATACCCTTCATCTTCAACAATAGATTTTCCTTTACCTTCAACAAATAAAACTTTTGTTGACGTATCCGCGATGTTTTCTTTGATCAGCAAAGGCCCATTCGAACATCTGGAACCAAGATTCACTACCTTCAGATTTTCACTAGAGTTCTTATGATTAATTCCGCCAAGATCTTGACTCAAAGATCCAACACCAGCAATACTATTTGCCGCCGCAGATGGCCGGCGGCCATCCACCGCCATCAACTTGACAAATCCTTATCGAAAGGATTGAAAACCGTGAATCAAGAATTCAAAAAATTTTGAATTTTCTCTCTCTAAAAATTAGGTGCTTCTCTCTCTAGACGAAAACCATATGAAAACTATTCCTTAATTATTTCTCTTGCTGCACATCATAAGGTATATTGGGATCCCTAACTTTTTTAGTCAAATTATCCTTATCTTCTCTCTTTATAAACATCTTGTTACATTATAAGAAGAGTAGCTTTATATTACTTCCTTTATATTTCATAGAGTATAACAATTATGTGTTTCTTCTTTAGTTTTTGGTCTACATAGTTAGATAATATAATTCATAGTTTTTAAGTAAATAACCTTTCGAAATTTTAGGCTAACTAATCTCTTGGTTAAGTTGACTTAGAGTCTAAGAACTAGACATGATGAAATCGAATTATTCTACTTCTTTTTAATAGTTCCTTATCTATTACCTTAACAACTTTTTACCCTATTGATTTCCTTTGAATATCTTTTGGGGTCAAATCTCTTATTGAATATCTAACTAAAAATAAACCATGACTATTTTATCAAATGTGCTCTTGGCTGTTCTCAAGATGTAATTAACTTCTCTTGGTTGTTTTAGATAATAAGATTATAATAAAGAGAGAGAGAGAGAGAGAGAGAGAGAGAGAGAGAGAGAGTGAGAGTGTGTGTGTGTATTATCAATTGGTGCATAGTTGATACAATCATTCTCAGGATATTCTCTGGGCCATCAAACCCAAGAAATAGGCATGCCTTTATCCTAAAGTAGATACTCTCGTTGGATTCTATGACGAACAAATTTTTTTTCTTTTTTTTTTCTTTTGCTTTATTTAGATTATGCTAACTTAACACTGTGAGCCATACAAATAAAGCCCAACTTGACAGGACAAAATAATCTCTCACGGACCCACAAAATACCACCTTGTACACAAGTTACGCAATTTAAATCTCTTATATTCTTCACGTGAGAATTTATTCTCCCTTTCTTTTTCTATACACAACCTATTGAAGCATATCCCTGCCATATATGGCACATAATATGCACGTTTATGTGCTCCTCAACTCCAATCATAAGAAACTTTTTTTTTCTTGTTCTCTTCCCTTCTTGAAGTTTCTAATATGAAGCCTATTTGACAGAAAATGATTCTATTTGGTCACCAAACCGTTCAAAGAAAAATGAGTGTGCGCAACATCTTCCGGTATTGAGAGGTATACAACAACGATACATAGCAAAAAAATGACGTGGCACGCTTTCATTCATCTTCGAACGCCGTCCGATAACTGCACATAATAATTAAAAATATTTGACACCCTCGGCACCCAACAAAATTAAATAGGTATTATATGAAAGTTAACAAATTAAAGATAGAGTAGATTGCTTGCAAAGTGTAGCACATAAACATGGCGACAGTTGCAAAGGATCTTGAAATATGCTGCTTCTCAAGTTTTCTCACTGGTTCAATACTCACTAGTGCAGACGATAATCCACTCAATAAATAAATGAGCGTAACATTTCATCAACAGAAACCGATACTACGACTAGAAAATATCTACTCTAAACCCTTCCATCACCATCACAAATCAAAGCAAACAAACAATCATTTACAATAAATAATTAAAAAAAAAAAACTAAAAAGAAACCGGCAACACGTAATAAATACATAGAAAAGAACAGCCAACTACTTAGCAGAGCCAAATCAGAACCCATCACACAGCTCTAGCCTCTAGTAAATAGATATTAATTTTCCTATTCTCTGAGGAGGAAAACGCTGAGCTCAGGCCCACCATGGCCATCAGGATTGATCATGTAGAAGGCCTCGGTGTCCTTTGACCCAACTACCCGCTCAAACATTGCCCTCATGTACATCACCTCCCCCTCCAGCCCATCACCACCGGCCGTTGCCGGCAGCACACCGGCTCCCACCGACACCTTCTCCACTGCACGCAACGCCTTCCAATCTTCAGGCCTGCATTCTCGCCGGAAGGCATATCCGCACCGATTCGATTGGTGAGGGGATTGAAACACCTATAACCTTTATGAGAAGTGGAATAACCTAGGAAAATGCACTCCTGAGAGCGAGGAGATAATTTGTTGGAAGTGAGTGGTTGGAGCCAAGGGAAGCATAGGCATCCAAAGGTTTTTAAGTGATGATAGGAAGGCAATTTATGATGAAGAAGTTGATAAGGAATTTGAAGACGACAGGCTGTGGTCGGTAAAATGTTAATGAGATAATTAGCGGTGAGAAGAGCTTCTGCCCAGAATGTATTAGGTAGATGAGCTGTGTGAAGTAGCGCACGAGTAGTTTCCAAAAGATGACGGTGCTTGCGTTCAGCAAGACCGTTCTGCTCAGGTGTGTAGGGACAACTAAGTTGGTGAGTAATTCCATGTTGGGATAAATAAGATTTAAAAGCATTGCTCAAATACTCACCACCACCGTCTGTCCTCAAAATTTGAATGGAAGTGTTAAATGAGTTTTTAATGAGTTGATGAAAATGTTGAAATGTTGAAAAAGATTCTGCTTTTGAGTGCAATAGATATAGCCATGTGTATCTCGTGGAATCATCTATAAAAACAATATAATATCGAAAACCATTGAATGATGAGACAGGAGCGGGTCCCCAAACATCAGAATGTATTAATTGAAAGGGTTGCATCTGAGGTTGCTGTTGGCAGCTCCAGGAGCATCAAAGGTTGCATCTGAGGTTTTAATTGGAAGCTCAGATGAAAATGCCCCCTCCGCCGCCCATAGAGGGTGCCTACAACTCTTGGCGACCGCCCCTGGCGTCTTGCAATGGCAGAAGCCAGCACAGAGCGAAACCTGGACACTGCTAGTGCCGCCATGAAAACTGCTTTCCTCTTTGAAACTGAAGCGTTAGCAGTGTTGCTGCTACTGCTGTTCCCATGGTGGTGGTTCTGGTTCTGGCTGTTCATCCCTCTCTTCCCCTCCTCCTCACCTGTCGCCATGACGGTCCCCAACGTTTGATGAGAGAAGGATAAAGTGACGAGGTTAGAGTTTAGAGTAGATGGACTTTGGATCCAACGTTTGATGACCAATTGGTTGATTAATTTGTATGCCTACTGGCCATTCTTGTAAGCAATTATGATGGTAGTAGAATCCTGACAAGAGGGAGGGAGGAAGCAGGGGCAGACCCACACCGGTATGAGGAAATTAATGCACGCACACTGAGAGAGTGAGAAAAAGTGTTGATGAAAATGAAGTGACAACGTTTGGTAGGCCATCTTGGTATGAGGTTGAGGCCCACAAATGGGTGGTTTGAAAGAAACGAGTGAAATTAAATAGGAATGACTACACAACTCTTCTTAGCCTATTGGTTAAGAGCTTAGGCTTTCAACTAAGAGGTCCAAGGTTCGACTAGGTACTACTAGGTACCGCTCGGTACTACTCGGTACTACTAGGTACCTCTCGGTACTACTAGGTACCGCGCATTTTTCAAGTAGTTCGGATGATTCGTGTTATCGGGTTATCGGGTAAACAGAGCACACGTTCTCTTCAAGTCGGTGGGGTCAAGATGGGCTCCACGTGACGCGAACCAATTCGTTTGCACACACAGAGCTACGTCCGCACTCCGCACCCAATAATTTCTCATGAGGTTGAGGCCCACAAATGGGTGGTTTGAAAGAAACGAGTGAAATTAAAGAGGAATGACTATTTGTGGGGCTAAAGGCTATTAGGCTGCTGTAGTAGCGTTGCAAGGGGTAAAGCAGGTGATACAGGGAGAGAGGGAAGAATGACATGCAGAGAAATCAGACTACTAGAGTCCAAGGCCTATTAGGAGACGAACAACAACACTTGCATCGGCACCATTTGTATGCCTTTAGTCACCAGGCCGTAAAATTCATTCTCAAACTGAGTAATATCTCAGTAGTTTCAGAAGAAAATAACTATAGAAGTGGTGAACAGTTTGGTTAGAAATCCTAGCTTTTCTTGTAATGCAATTCAAAAAGCGAGGCAATGAGCATCCATAAAGAGAGAACCTTACAATACTGCAGCAAAATATCACAAGAAGATCTCTGATCCTGCATTAATTGCGACACAAAAGCGCTTCGTCTCCCATAATGGAGCCTATGGTGATCGTGCAGTACTGCTTGTTCTTTTCCCTGACCTTGCTATAAGAGTTTGCGTGGCTCAAATGCTCAATATTGGCCGACGGGCCTTGATATTGAGGTGACTGCCAAGTCATACTGGAATACAGATAATGGCTGTGTAGGGTCTTTGAATAGGAGTGACACAGGAGTGTCTTATAAATAGCCCGATACCATTGTATTTTTGTCTTGACTTTCTTCTCTATTCGGTAGCTGTTGATATTGCCAGCTGTATAGCTTCATTTGAATTGTTATCTTGTTCTTTCCCGGGTGTTATTATAAAAACAGACCGGAACATAGCTAAAGCAGATTTTGATGATTTTTGAAGTAAATTCTCTGACTTGTTGTCGAGACATTTTTCGTTCTGTATCCTGTTTGCTTACAGGTGGTGGAGGAGATTCTGTAACCGGTTCGCCCTACCGGTGGTGATTAATCTCCGACGAAGGAAATAGGATCGCTACTCAACGTGATCCCCTGAAGATCGAGTTCCGTTACATTCAGGCAATCCTCCATTCTACAGTTTCCTGTTCTTGAACGGTGTCATTTGGTATTAGAGCCGGCGAAGATGCCGCCTCGAAGGAACCCGCAAAGACCGACGAGAGACGTAATCATTGAGGATTTACAAAGGCAAATCCAGCAGCTGCAGCAACGACTAGCAAGATTTGAACATCAAGAAATAGAGGATGTTCAAGAAGAGGAAGAGGAGGTTAACCCATTTCATCAAGATCTTCATAGTGAAGATGAGGAAAGACGACATGTGCTAGGTCGTGCGAGACGTCCGCGTGATGACAGTGGGGTCAAGGTGGAGTTTCCCGAATTCGATGGTAGATTGGATCCGGATGAATTTGTGAATTGGCTGCACACTGTAGACCGAATTGTTGATTTTAAAGAAATTCCTTCAGAGCGAGTTGTCAAGCTTGTCACCATCAAATTAAAGAAGAATGCTTCCCTATGGTGGGAAAATTTGAAACGAAATCGAGACCGGGAAGGAAAAAGCAAGATCGTGACATGGATAAAGATGAAGAAAGAACTTAAGCGGAAGTATCTGCCGGAAAGACATCGTCAGGACTTGTTCTTGAAACTCCACCGCTTACAACAAAATCAGCTCACTGTTGAAGAATATATTGCGGAATTTGAACAATTGTCCCTCCAATGTGAGCTAGCTGAACCAGAGGAAAATACTATTGCCCGGTTCTTGGAGGGATTACAACCGTCGATTGCCAATGTGGTCCAATTGCAACCATATTGGACGCTACAAGACGTGTTTGATCTGTCTTTTAAGGTGGAAAAACAGCAGCGGCCCAACAGGTGGATTCGTGGTAAAACCCCTGTTCAAGAGGAAGGACCTGATCGAAGTCAAGTCAAGAAAGTTGAGGGAAGGACTACCGGGGTGAATCCTTTGAACAAAGAGGCTACTCGGTCTGCTAATGGAGCATTGAAAATACCAGGAACCACGGGGTTACCTCCAAGAAATTGCTTCAAGTGCCAAGGATTTGTCCACATTTCCTCTGGATGTCCGAACCGAAGGATTGTTACAATAATGGAAGAAGCTGATACTGAGCAAGACATGATTACAAATCCCGAATCGGAGAACAATATGATGACGGAGACCACGGTAATTCCAGCAGATGAAGGGAGTTTACTTGTTCTCAGAAGACTACTCAATTCCCATAAGGAGAATTCGTGTCAGCGCCATAATATTTTTCAAACACGATGCACAGTTGGAGGGAAAGTCTGTCATATGATCATTAATAGTGGAAGTTGTGAAAACGTGGTGTCCACGACCATGGTCAGCAAGTTCGGGTTGCCCACGGTCGACCACCCCAAACCTTACGCATTGTCATGGATAAAAAAAGAGAATGAAGTTCGGGTATCGAAACGTTGTCTCGTAAGTTCACCGAGGAACAAGCTGAGCTCAAGTGACAGGTAGAAGAATTACTGAACAAAGGATTTATAAGGCATAGTGTCAGCCCCTGCGCTGTACCCGCCTTACTGGTTCCGAAACAGGATGGATCCTATAGAATGTTCATAGACAGTCGGGCTGTCAATAAAATTACAGTTAAATATAGATTTCCTATCCCTCGCATAGATGACATCTTCGATCAGTTACAAGGTGCTACAATTTTCTCCAAGCTGGATCTGCGTAGTGGATACCACCAAATACGCATGAGGCCTGGTGACGAGTGGAAAACTGCGTTCAAAACACATGACGGGTTGTACAAGTGGTTGGTCATGCCATTTGGCTTAACCAACGCTCCAAGCACGTTCATGCGTTTAATGAATCATATCCTACAACCATTTCTATATAAGTTTGTAATCGCCTACTTTGATGATGTTCTTGTTTATAGTTCTGATCTCCAGGAGCATCGCATTCATCTTCGACGTGTTCTCGAGCTCTTCCGGGAGCAATAGCTGTTCATTAATCTTGAGAAATGTCAGTTTGTTGTTCCTCAGATTACATTCCTAGGCTATCAACTATCTACTGAAGGGTTGAAGGTTGATCTTACTAAGGTTGAGGCCGTCCGCAGCTGGCCCGTTCCCCAGTCCTTTACAGACATTCGCCGTTTTCATGGTCTAGCGTCTTTCTAGAGGAGATTCATCAAGAATTTCAGTACAATTGCGGCCCAGATGACGGAAATCCTCCGAGCTAATCAATTTGAATGGAACCCGGAAGCACAGGCGAGCTTTGATGACTTGAAACAGAGGTTGTCTTCGACCCCCACATTAATCTTACCTGATTTCGACCAAGCCTTTGAGGTCGAATGTGATGCCTCGAATGTAGGCATTGGTGTAGTCCTAACTCAAGGTGGCCATCTAATAGCTTATTTTAGTGAAAAATTAAGTGACGCAAGGCGCAAGTATTCTACATATGACAAGGAGTTCTACGCTATAGTTAGAGCCCTGCAGCATTGGAGTCACTATTTGCTATCCAATGAATTCGTGCTTTTTTCTGATCATGAAGCTCTACGTTACCTCAGCCATCAGAAGATACTCAAGGCTAGGCACGCCAAGTGGTCTGAATTTTTATCGGCATTCCATTATGTACTGAAACACAAGTCCGGACATCATAAGCAGGTGGCAGATGCGCTTAGTAGAAGGTATGTTCTTCTACAAACGCTGCAGAACCAAGTAATTGGCTTTGAAGTCATACGAGATCTATATGCGGAGGATACTGATTTTGGGGACATTTGGCAACATTGCCTTCAAGGTCCTTTCAAGCTATTTTACATCAAAGATGGATACCTTTTCTTTAGACAGCGTCTGTGCATTCCAAATTGCTCT